AACACACACACACACACACACACACACACACACACACACACCTATTGTCAGCTCCATTCAGCCACTGAGACTGGAAAGAGAAAGCCCTGTGTAAATGTCAGACTTATCTAAAATGGGTCTATGAACCCCTTGCCCAGCTCCATAGCGCTAGGCCAATCAGCAGCCAGTAAGCACATGGGAGAAAGTGAGTCATGTTACTCACCCATACCCACGACAGACTTTGTGGTCTATGGCTAAACAAAGCAACAAGGCAGTGAAGGAAAAGGGAGTTTATGCTGCTGGGGGTGAAGGCAATTTGTTTTCCGTGTATTAGCCAAGGAATGGTTCACTTTACATTGCCAACAAAATAATGCTATTTTATGCCCTAGTAGATTCAGTGCATTTGTTCTACAAAAAGATTTCTATTTTAAACATCATATTTCAAAAATTGCCTATTACACTGATGGGGATGCTTAAAACTGTCCTTTTTAAATTAATGTAGGCAATTTTTCCCAAAGAAAAAAACAGTTGCAGTACCTGCTTTACAAGTGGATTTTTGTACTCACAAAATAATACTTTTTTGAAATCCATGAAGAGATAGAGGAAATCTTCAAATCTTAGGAGTTGTACAGCTGATTACAGAATGACAGGACTAACCTTCCCTACTACCAGCATGCTTCGGCAGTGACAAGCACATGATTATAAAATGAGGGGTGGGACCGATGTCCCTCAAAGGACTACAAGAAAATGTTTTCATGGTGAGTTCAAAAGTCCTATTTTCTTTCTCTCCATTGAGGCATAAAGAAGTGTTAAACTTTGGGATGTCCAAAAACACTCCATTTGAAGGGTGAACAATACAGCAAGCTAATGCTAACAGGCCCAACATAACCAAGAACTAGGAACTGCCAGCACTTAAAAGATCTGCCTAAAGCAACTTAAGCAGGCATCAGATAAGGCAGAAACATCCACCTGGTAGAACAAATGAACCAAAGACCAGGAGCCTCACAAATTTGGGAAACACTAATCTGGTTTCAAAACCGCACGAGAGGCACTCGCAGACCTAGTATAGTGAGCCTTAAACAGAAAAATCAGGGGACACAACGCTTGAGACCATAAGCAATGGGATAGTCCATCTAAGCCAACAAGAGATTGCTGAAGTAAAAGCCAGTGTGCCCTTTGGGGCTCATCTGGAAAGACATAAAAGGGAAACCTACTCTGCAGTTTCTGAAGCACAGAGAATGAGATTCAGATCCAAATGATTCACAGGGGAAGGGACAAGGAGTAACCACATGGGAGACCCATGGTCTTAATCAAAGTGAAAGGCCTTGGGTTTCTGAAACAGAATAGAAAAAGCAGAGACCTGACCTTTGAATGTGCCAAGAGACAACCACTGGTCCAGACCCAACTGCAGGAAGGAAAGGAACAGTCCCACAAAAACTATTAGGGTAAGAGCACCAAGTAAAATAAGCTATCGGCATCAGATGAAAGACCTTACACAAAGTTGACTTTCTAGCCTTGAACATTGTAGGAATCGCAGACTCAAGATACCCCTGTCCCACAGAACATAGGCTTCAATAAGCCTGACCAAAAAGCAGGATGGTAAAATCAGTCCTTGGAACACCAGATCAGGACAATTTGGTAGGACCCACAGCGCATTTGCCAGAAGTCTTACGAAGTCAGTGTACCACATTCACCTAAACCAATCCTGGACAAAATGGGAGTGGGGACCACTCTCCCGGGTACAGATACTGCCAGCTGTCTGCCTGGAATGTGCATGGCTGAAAAGCTCAGTGCAGCCCAAGACAGGATTTGCTCTGCCTCTGGACGCAGTGATTCTGGTTCCTCCTTAATGGTTAATGTACCAACATACTGTTCAACGCTAAAGGAAAAGCCACATCACCCAAAGCTCCAAGATGTCCACCTTGTTAGTGTCCCCTGCACTAACAAGGGGTTATACCCTGAGCTGGCCTAGAGGTTTTTTTTTTTGTATGCCAATGTCAAAAACCCCGGTGGGAGGAT